CTAATAAGTTTGGGAAAGACAGCAGCTTCAGTTTTCTGTACATTCATTTGCATGTCGCACGTTTAATCACATAAAAATTCTATTAAAAATTTCTATAACATTACTTAGTTCCGGCAAGGGTTAACTGTGAAGTGTGGTTGTTTAGAAGCAAAGTAAAAAAAAAAAAAAAAATCTAAGTTTTCAGATTTTATATTACGCCCAAAGGAGCATTTAAATATTTGATCTTTTAAATATTTGTATTACAGTATTCGTACTACACTACATCAGTCAAGTCAGCATTTTGTAGCATAATTAAGTAAATATTTATTCAAATTAAAGGCGTAATAAATGTCCGACATTTTATAAATAGTATAAAATGTGATAAAATTCCTTGTTTAAACTTTTCGCTTTATTCACATCGAATTACGCAAAGTTTTTTCCACTTACCCACCTTCGATGAATAGTCAGAACGAAATGAGGTATTTAAATCATTTATTTACAACATGAACGCTCTCATACAACCATTCACATGTTAGAGGAATCATGCCTACCTAGATTTATCGGGATGAAATCTTACAATTCTGCGTAAGAGTTTTTATAATTGTACGTGGATCTGACATCTTTTTATGTATGATAGCACGCTTTCATATCAAGCAAGCCTGCTTAGCGAACTTTTGTAAATTGAAGGCATTAACCAACTAAACTGGCTACTCAGATGTCTTGATCTGAATATTATGGGAAACTTCTGGTTCATTCTTTTAAGAAATACTACATGGCAAATTTGAGCCTTTTCATAACTCAATATATTGAAGTCCATGTTGATGGAGACTTGGAATTTACTTTTTCAAACTCAACCACTTCATCAATATCTTGAAATATATTGTAAAAATGCACCTTAGAAAGATCACGTTACTCATTAATAGGAAAGGTCTGCAATCATTTGCTTGTTGAAGAATGACAGGTTCGAGCAATTAAAATTTAAGTTAAGAGAAAAGAAAAGTCTGGGTTTACACGCTTAAAGACTGCATTAGAACACTACACTAAGGCTGCAGCTTTTACAGGTGGCCCGTCTGCTTCATCAGCTGGAATCTGTTTACACTTACAAGATTGCGTAAATCCGAACAATGCATTTCCATAATTCCTTGGATGAAATCTCGACCAGAAGTTCATGCAAACCTATGCTATTTCAGGTATTTCTTAAAGAGATGTATACATTTAAAACATTTTACAGAAGAATTAACATTAATTTCAATTAACATAAAAATTTGAATTTCATAGTCTTCTTCGACCTGCATTCTGTGCAACTTCTGCATTAATACTTGACGAAGTTGGCCTTTCGTTGCTCGTAATTGTATTTTACAGATATTAATGCATTCTTAATTATCTGCAAACAATAACCTAAGATCCATAATCAGTTCTCTACATTCTTTGGAGAAAAAAACAAAATCAAGATTTACAGGCATAAACTAGCAACAGCATTTATGCGAAGCTTGGCAAAGCAAAAGTAATCATGACCATGGTATTGAAATTGAAAATCTCGAAACAGCCCTTGGCAAGTGTTGCCACTGAACCAAACATGATCTTTAACGTATCTTAAAAAATGCTTCCGTGTACAGCGGATTTTCATTGTGTATGTAATAAATGAGAGGTGTTTCTAAAGTCATATATTACAGCAAATTATACTGATATTTTTCGATATTCTAGGTATATTTTCCGGAACATTATTCCCACCTAATTGTCTTATAATAGGTAAATGGCCGAGTTTGTGTCGATTTATTTCTTTCAATTGGATACGTCGCAAAAGTATCTTCAATAAATTTGAGCAAAATGTTGATACGCGATAATGTTTCATTATCTTTTTTTACATAATATGAATGCATTTCAGCACATACTGTCTAAGAATGGAGAAATATCTTTTGTAGTATTTTTGAGTCGTTTTCTTTCTGTGGATACGCTAGATATTCATCGCTTAATCCAATTCACCCTTTTTTATTATATGAATCACTAGCTCGTTTCTTGTTATTATTTTTCTTTTCTTGTTTCTTACGTTGTCATTAGGACATACTTACTAAATAAACCTCCCTCTTATCTTTCCATTTCATTATACGCATGACGAGTATACTCCACAATACACAAAATCGTGCCGCTTCTCCATGACGAGTATACTCGTCAATCTCAGTTAACTGGTTAAAAGATGAAATTCAATACATGTAAGAGACATGAGATTTTCTTCTAAATTCGCGTTAAGTAATAAGATTTTTAAAAAATCCAATTTAGTTGCATGTTTTAACTAATTCCTTGAATACTAGAATTCAGTCAAAAAATGACTACCTAAATACATTCGAACATGTTCCTTCTTAATTTACAGCACACAATATATTCCAGAATAACGAACATATTGAATTTCTGTCTATCGGCAAAGTAGATAATGCAGACTTTATCTAGGGTATTTAATATTTCATGTATGGCTAATGGGCTGCAGAGTAATATTATGGATAAACTGACAGCAAACTAGCATAACCTCACAAAACGCATTGTATATGCTACAAACTGTGTTAAGTAACGAAGATCTTAATAACTGACATATAGAGCTTTGTCAGAAATAAGTACCGGAAATGAAGCGAAATCGTTTTAAATTACCTGAATTATTAATAATGCAAGTTTGACTATATTAGCTACAAAACGTTATTACAGAAAATAGCTTAAGCACTATATGTTAACCCACTTTAAGATGCTGAGATAATTTTATCTTTTCGGTAGGCTGACTATTATAAAACAGGACAATTAAATTTAACATTTTTATGCTATTAATATTACTGCAGGTCGAGCTAAAAGTATTTCTTTAATGGTATTTAAGGAACAGATAAGGTTTATTCGGATGCATGTGAGTGATACGTATATCATAGAGCATATTTTTAATACCTGCAGCAAGGTTAAGCAAATTTATTACTTGATGTTCAAAGAGTTCACCATAAAGTGCTTGTACGGCAGTTCTATTTTAAATGTAGAAACTTATTGAATCATTTTCGAGGTAACATCCCTTCGAACACATGCATCAGCTCCAGAGCTCCTCATATTTCTCTGAATCATTAATATATAATACTCCTTCGGTAACTGCCACACACTGGCTTTGGATAGCATGAACTTTCTGAAAATGTTAATTCGTAGAAGCATTTTGATTAGACAGAAAAGCAGGATCAAAGGGTAAAAAAATTGGCAAATAAAATATTCTGACGTGACGCTTTGATCTGAAATATATCCTTTATTCAAAAGCTTTTTGCTCGAAATGTGATACTGCGCCGTATGATCAGGGGCGTAGCTAAAGGGGGGCATCTGTCCCCGGACGCAGAATCCAAGGGGTGCCTAGCTACGACTCTGCGTATGATTGAAAAATGCTTCAAATCCGCTTACACAACACAACCTAGGTTACGCCGAAAGATAGCAATTCATGCATTTATTGCCCTCGGCCTACCAAATTCATTTACTACTAATAGAAACTTTTCAGGAACAAAAATGAACACCCTCATGCTTCAATTTTCATTTTAGAGTATTACCGAAATTTGCTGAAACTATCATCATCTTTGGAAACTTAACTTCAAGATACGCATAAGCACACAACATAGTTCCTATCAACTTATATTATAACACTTTATCCCTAAAAATTAAACATTTTATTCAAAAACGGAACTATTATGGCATTTTAAATTTGCTTTATCTTGTAATCTTAAATTTGATTTCTATGTTCTGTTTACAAAAATAATCTGAAATAGACAGACTCTCCCATAATCAGTGTTACAACGTTTGAAGACAAGTGATATCGCTTCCAAACCAAAATCGCTTAGTTTTCAAAAAAGTTCCATTACAACATGTTAAAAGTCAAGAATATTAAAACATTTTGCTTAGCAAAGTATTTTACCCAGTTTTAAGAAATTTTGGGCAACACTCTACTTTAAAGATTCCGTTCGCGTATTTTTAAACGAAAACAATTTGAAAAAAAGCTTCCTCAAGCAGTTATTAATGCGGAAAACACTGACGTCACATCCGTCTTTTTGCTGCGGTTTCAAAAACACAAAGAAATCTCATGTCAGTAATGCAAATTAACTGCCGAGTATTTATTGACTATTTCATACTTCTCTATCGGCTTAGACGACTTGAAAAGAAAGTTAAGTACCCCGATGGAAAATAATTCTAATACAAGGAAACACTGGGTAGACTTTTTTTTTTCAAGTTACTTTTATAGTTGAATGTAAATTAGCTTTTTTAAAACTATTTTTCCCCTTTACTAGGGCATTCGACTGCTCTTTTTGTATAGATATTTCTTCTTTTATTTTATTATGCAATGCTTTCAATATTGTAATTTTTACTTGTACTACCTTTGGGTACAACTTTCTTCGGAATACAATATGGTTAGGACCTTCATAGGATAGAAATTGTAAATTTGCATTTTAACTCCCAACTTTTACCTTTTCTTTAAAAAATTTTTTTATTTTTTTTCGAACCTGCAGCAATTGTGCAGCTCATCTACTAGTTTTTAAACTTTGTTTTAGAAATTTTTTAAGAAAGCTTTGTCTACTGAGTATTTAAAAAAGTATTTGTAGAACCTTTCATGTTTCTACAGTATACGATAAACTATATTTTATTCTAATATATATCACACACGTATATATACGCATATACATCACAAACCTTAAGCTTTAATACCTTCATTAAAAGCTACAATTCGGAAAATCTATTAAACGGATTTGGAATTACAGTGACGTCATTCATATTTTTCAAATATGGAAACATTGAATACAAACCATCTTGCACAATTATAACTATTATAGGGTGGGTTTTTAATTACCGGCTAAACAAAAAAACTAAAACTTTACAAAAGTTGGCCCCTTTTGCTCTTTAAATGCCACTTTTTCTATGATTGGCAATTTTACTTAGTGTTTTGCATTTATTAGACACTGTAACTTACTTAAAATTTCGCACGACAAAAATGTGTTAAAGAAAGAACAAAATAATACACTCCCAAGTATAAACTAAATTTATTTTATTTCTCTTTAATATAAAAAAAAAAAAGATTGTAAAAAGGCTTGAGCATTTTTACAATGACAGATCCAATTTCTTTTAATTATTATCTAACCTTCAGATTTAACATATCAAGCGAATCGAATGGGAACCGGAAACCAGCCGTATTTCCCAAAGATCCGCCATCGCTGAATATGCATCAACACAAGCTGCTCTCAGGGATACAAAATTCAATGAAGATACAAAGTGCCAACGATAATTAAATATGACCGGTTCTTACTCGCTTTTTGTGCGTATCGTCGTCTTAAGAAGATAATTTTTTTTTCAATACAAGATAATCTTTTTTTAAATTAAAAGCAACTATTATTATTTCTTTTAATTAAAAAATTAAAAGAAAGAAAATTAAAAATTTTAATTTAAGGTAAAACAGTACTAGTATTTTTAATTAATATAAAAACTACATAAAAACATTTTAAACGATAAAATCTTACATCAGTTACCATTTACAAAAACAACAAAAAATATTTTTTCAAGGCCGAAGTTAAAAAATTAAACAAAATGATCTACTTTAGAATACAATGGTGAGAAATTTTCACTCTAATGATGGAATAACGTCCTCTTATTTAGACATTTCTAATATATAACCCAACAATGAATATTAATAACAAAGTAACTTTGCAATTAACAATACTTTAAAATGCTTCTGAAACTACATACAATTAGAACTTTTCCATCCTCAAATTAGGATTCAGAAGCGACATTAAAGTAAATTTTGATAAAATATGGCTTTCATTAATAATATTTTCATAAAAACATAATTTTACTTAGGTAAGATAAATAGCATAAATCTACGATCTATCTCAAATTACGATAATTGAGGACATAAGATATCCTAACATAGGCACGGCGGTAGAAAATTGTATTTTTTTCGGCAGCTTAAAAACGATCAAGAGTGCTTAGTTAATCGCACAAATTGGCACTTGGAATGTCTAGGCACTATCGCTTGGCACTTAATAAATTATAAATTCTTACAGTAAAATTTATAGGACAGAGCGACAGAAATTTCTGAACATAAATTTGGAAAATGTATTCGATGCGATTTCAGTAATTTATCGCTAAAAATTTAAAAAGTTTCATTAACATTAAATGGCATTCGAAAAATGCGCACAATAACATTAAGGGTATGGGCACTTTTTTTTATATATATTTCAAATTCTTTTCTACATAATACATTTCATTTCTTTGTACACAATAAAAATCAGAGATCAAATTACTAAAGCTCACATCGTCTCTTGGAGCCTTTATTATTATTATTTATTTAACAGGAATTACGATTATTAAAATTTTGTAAATTGTCTCTGATGTACTTTTTTTGCAACGAGAACTTCTGTATGCACATTTTTCTTCATAATGGAAGGAACTTCTTTAAACTTACAAATCGCTCTATCCGTACATAAATGCGTAAACTGCATGAAGAGGCATGGGTGAAAAGATTCAATATAGATAAAAAATACACATAACTACAAAATTTAGGCACTAAACATCTAATTTAACAGAGCCAGCTCTGTATGTTATTTTCATAAATTAGGTTGCTCTACTAAAACTACATCCCTTTGGTTAGGACGGTTTTAAATGTTAAATTACAATGGATACCATGTTGGCTTACTTCCATCAAGGAAGAAGAGCTACATACAATCAACACTAGAAAATGCAATATTCCAAAAACTGAATAAGAATAAAATTTTGTACAGAACTCGCAAGAACACAGGTTATAAACAACTTGCAAGAAACCGTTTTAAATCACAACATTTAAACATGAAGTATAAAAACATAGTGCATTCATCATATTGATCAATATTATAAAAATGTTCTAAAATTAATTTTTTCTCCAAAAATAACGCATAACATTCATTTATTGAAAAAAATTTAAATTTTGATTTAAAAAGCACTCTTATTATTTCACAGACAAAAGTCAGCAGACACAACCAAGACATAATACGAAATGCAAGACTAGATTAATATTCCTACATTAAAATAATTCCTGATTTACGAAACAATCATCTAGAATTTTAAAAGCAAATAGCAGAAAAAAACATTTATTAGAATATTTCTATATGAACAAAACAAAAAATTCAATACATTTTTTTATATAATTACAAGATGTATTAACAACAAATACTTAAGATCTAAAATATAACTAAAAATGCAACAAACTTCATGCTAACAAATACATACTATGATGTAAAAACATTTGCTCAGTGAACTATTTAAAATGACCTATAACAACAATGAAAATTGCTACAACTGTATTTAGCATTTTAAAATTTTTTGGCAGAAAATAACATTAACCTGCAACTTCTTTTAAAGCTATCTGAATAAATTAAAACTACCAAACATTTCATTTAAAAATAATCAAATGTCAAACATCGCTACTTTGTATAAATCGCCTCCTACTTCATTGTATAGAAACGTATGTTTTAGATATTTTGAAATTAGTGCTTTCCCCCCCAAAAAAAAATTCTAAACGTTTCCTACATTAATACTTTCATGAAACTACTAACAAGCTCTCACCAGTCCAGTAAATGTATTTAATAATAAAATATCAGCAACTTTTAGTCGACTCTGCAATACTATTTGACATAAAGAGTTCCTTTACAGCCTTTTTTAACAGCAACAGTTAGCGACAGAAAATTAGCATATCATTTTTGATAAGCTATTTGCTCGATTAATTTTCCAGCAAAATACCGCATTCTCTTCTGCAGCAGTTCTACGAATTTTATCAAAAATACCTCTACACATTAGAACTATAATTTATTCCATAAGCAGAATTCCCTTAATAAATTATAAGAAATTATCGCCCGATAATTTTAATGAAAAAAAAAGTCGAACGTGATCCTTCACTTTAAAAATAGAAACATCTTTCGCAAATCTAATAACACATATGCCATAATTCAAAACACTTTTATTACCCTAATTTAGCTATTCTTGTTATTAAATTTACGCCTCTGTTACATTATTCATTTAAAAGTACTCGATTTCTAGTCAAATGAACAACACAGTAAACGCTTATCATGAAGTACTTTCATGCCGATATAAATTTGATTCTTTTATTAATTGTATTTTTAATCTGATATGAATATATTAATATTCCAGGGATTACATATTAAGACTTTTTTAATTAATTGATTAAAAAAGAAACAGAGATCAATTCTCTCATTAATTTTTTTCTTTTCTGATATAATTTTAAAGTTTAATAGTTCCGTTTTTAGCAGCTGTCATTCTTTTTTTTCATATAATGCAGAAGATTAACATAACTATTTGAGAAAAATATCACCTAGAAGAAAATGCGTTATTCCTGAAGATTTCTTCGTTACTTACTTTATTACAACTACTTTGACAATTACAATTCCATGCATACTTTTCTTTCTTTCACTAGTCTAGGTTGTTACCTTTCCATTAAAGTATATACCAGAGATGTCATGCCGTCAGTTTGAAGTCTACTTGTTGAATGCAATTTGCTTGCTTCTTCTTTTATTACGAACTGAAAGACGATAATAACACTAGCTGCAGCTTTCCGGTATGATTTTTAATTAAGACAGAAAATACTGTCCTAACTTAAAATCACCAAAACCAGCTTATTCTGTTTATTTACCTATCACTTACATAAAATTGTACTTAGAAAAAAAAATCTTAAAATATCCCCCCCCCTTCTACAGATTTTCTCGTTTTTGAAATGTTTGGTAGTTGATTTTTCATGAGCTGAAGAAAATAAATGCAGTGGAATATTTCGCTGCAAAATAGAAACCGAAAGTGTAAGCATCATAGCATAGATATTATGCAAGTTAGCAAGAATATAAAAAGCTAGAGAATTGCCCAAAATAAAAGCGGTTAAAATGGTTAAAAGAGAAGGTGGCATTTTTCGGGCAGCACAGATCGTCGAACTCAGAAGTGAGAAGCACGCGTGAAAGGAAAAGTTGATTAATTATAATACCCTGCCCGCAGGGCTGAGGAGGGGGAAAGAGCTCAAAAAAGCGATGAAAAAGGATAATTGGTGTAGGAAAACCAGCTCCGCTTTCATAATTTCAGATTTTGCAGGAGGAGTCAAAGGTGGGATGAAAACCAATCAAATTCGTCACTCTTGAGTCATGTGACATTATTATTCCCGAAAAAGGAAGAAGAGTATCATGATGCCGTCTATTGCCAAAATAAGAAGCGTGCGTCGTCGCACTCTGCAGCTTCTTATGGAATTCTCAGTTACCCCGATTCAGCATTTTAGACGGAATAATGGGAAATTTAGCTTCTCAATTTGGCAATTTGACACAGAATACTTTAAATTTCATCGGAAAAAAAAAAAAGGCAGACAATACTTTTAAAAATATGGTCAATACATATATATATATAACTTTTTTTCCATCAAACAAAATGAAGACATTCTGATCAAACATGTAAGATAAAGAAAAAGCTTCTATTCACATTTATATATATAACAAATGACCACGCCTTTCAGACGGCATTAAATAGGCAAAATACATTTGCATAAATTTTATTTACATTCCTGTTCCGCAAATGCAGAGTTTTTATTTACTATTTTTTTGTTTTCCTTCCCAAAGATATGACTCTTTAAGTGAGAGTTTGATTTGCTATTGCTTTGGAAGTTTTCTGGGTTGATCTGGCTCTCCACTCTTCTCTTGGTCTTAAATCATATAGAATGGTGGCAATTTCTGGTGCTGGCAGTCTTCGTACTGGTGTTGAAGGAACTTGGGCTGATGATTCTGAGAGGAGCTGGTGGCGGGAAACTGGGGCTGCTACGGGGAAAGGGGACAACAACATGCATTAGACTACCACCTTCTCTTTTTCATTAAAAAAAAAATAATAATAAAATATACGAAAAATAATGGATGTACGAATTAATAAACTTCATTTTTGATAGCTGCATATAAAATAATTAATATTGGATTTGACACTTCATGTGTCACTCTTCTCTTTTAACTGAAATGATCTGATTCTACTTGGGAATAAAATTACTACTTAATTTCAGTAAAATTAATTAAGTCAACATTAGTATATCATTATAGCTAATAAACTAAGGAGGCTACCTAAATGTCACCCATAAAAGAATACACAACATCCACTTTACAATACAAAAACCATAATGTCAAGCTCTGAACTCATTCAAGTGATACCAGAGCTTAAATTGTGCCGAAGCCTGGCTCCGATAATTCATAGTTTTTCGTATAAATCACAATTCTAGACGGAGTGCACCAGAGTCCTAAATAAGAAGGCTCAAGCACTTCTCCGTAACTGAACTACAATTTCAGTAGAAATCTTACCTCGAAAATTTTATTTTTAGTAACAAAATTATATTTAATTTACTTATTTTAATTTACCGTACATTTAATTTTAATCATTTAATTATTTTAATTATTTAAATGACAAATAATTAATTATTTCAAATTACCATTTAATATTTGCAATTCATATATATATATGCATGTGTGTATGCATGCACAATGAATGCGCACATGTGTGTGGAAGATAAAATACTAATTATAATTTGCAAAAACCCCTTCATTAATTTCGTTATTTCCCCTTTCCATCTGAAAAATAGCAAATGCTTACAATAAAATTGATCATAAATTCCATTTATTTATAATTTTTTTAAATGGAAAGAGATTAATTTTTTACACGATTCTTAAAATAAGACCAATGATGCAGGCACATACATAATGATTCACGAAATAATAATTTTAAATTCTGCGAATAGACCTAAAATTAGCCAGAGTAGAACTATATAAATTCTCCACTTGGAAAGTACACATTCTTCTCTTGCTTTGTTATAATATTGCCGCTTATCTTACTTTCATCAAGGGTATTGCAATAAAGGGGAAAAACGTACAAATGGCAAAAATAACTCAAGAACGGGGGAGTCGCAATCTGCACCGATTTTGTATAAAAAAATGTCAAGCAATAATAAAAGAAAAGTATTCAACCGGTAACAACGACTGCCACCATACTTATTGCACCAAGCTCCATCACTCTGTAAATGATGTATCAGCACACAGAAACTTCGGGTAGAAATTTTGGTATCTGAAGACATTTTATTAATTATTTATTTGAAAACAAATTTTAATAATCACTACATGTTTGAAAATCCTCTGAAATTCACGAAAAGTACTACCCTAATAATTACGCATGTAATAATAATGCAATGACGTATGTTCGCATCTCCAAACTCTGAGATTACAATCTGAAACTTATTTTCCAAAGGGAAAACGAATTTCCAGTGGTTTGTTACACTTGAACTGCTGCAATATTGAAAATAAACTGTCTCTGAATGAAAAAGAACAATTAATGGAACACTGGAATGTCAGCAAATTTACAATGAAATTCCAAGCAGAAACTATGGTTAATTTCTGGACCTCATTACCAGTGAAAACTGAATATAGTGGTGCTTTAAAAATTAGGGTTCAGTCTGCTTCTACATATCTATGTAAGAAAGGGTTTTAATTACTCATTCAAATAAGAAGCAAAGTACTGAATTCGATTTAATACATGTATTAATCTCAGACTTAAGCTTACCAGCACATACATCCAAACATAGAACAACTGTGGAAGAATTTGTAGCCCATCCATCTCATTAATGTGAGTACCAATATTTATTTAACTGTGAGTTAAGATAAAGCTTTTTCAAACTGTATTCCTTTGAGTTATTAGGAAAAGATAAACTTCTTTTAACTAACTCGTTTATACTAACAAGCTTGAGGAATTTTTAATTCTAATTCAAAAAGTAACAAACACTCAAAAGTAACACTGGTAGTAACAAATATTAAAAAAAATTGTTTTTGAAGGAAACAAGAACAGGTAGTCTGAAAACGTTTTAATTTCTGAAAGTAGTCCCCACTTGAAAAAAGTTCCTCCATACCAATGAAAGAAAAATATCCAGATACGTAACTTCCACAACTGTTGTGAATACAATATATACAGGGTAAAATCTGAACAAGTGGGCAATACTTTAGGAGGTGATAGAAGGCAGCTATAAGAGCAATAATGTATGCTCCAAATGCAAACTGCTAGGTGGCATTGTAAATAAATGGTATAAAAAGGGGTTGGTACTCGCACCCAATGGCACCAGATGGTGACATGTGCAAGGACTTTTCGTCGATTTTCTCTTTCTTTTTTAGCCTCCTCCTGATGATCTAATACAACAAGACCCACCTGATTTTTCCTCAAAATCAAGTCCTTCGGGAGGTCTCTACGGTTACTGGGAAGTACTGCTTCTATGCAGTAGAAACCCAGTATAACCCACATTAGTATCCCAACGGCATTTTCTACAGTGGATTACGGAGAGGACTGCTGATTATACAAACCTCGAAATTTCCAGGGATATGGATTGGTCGAGGTGCTCCCATAGCTTGGCTACCTAGATCACTGGACCTCTCGTGTTTGGACACTTTTTCCTGTGGGACCAAATGAAAAGGGTAATATCTACAAATGCCCTGTTGAAACCAATATGGATCCAGTCGCAAGGATTGCCGTTGTTGCCGGCGATATTCGGGAAATGCCTAGTGTCTTAACAAGTGTGTGTCAATCAATTACAGCTGGCAGATGGTCTTTTGAACAATTTCCAGTTTTCTGAAGTATCTCCTCTCATTCTCGCATTAATTCCTTAAATGTGACAGTGGAAAACCACCCTTTAACTTCTCATCGCTTGAGTTCCGACCATACATTCTATGGCAAATATTGCTCATGTAGCTGCCTTCTATCACATTCTAAAGTTGTTCAGATTCACCCGGTATATATGAGTAATTGAAACTTCACACTTATATTTTGCAGTCAGAAAAAATTTTGCTTTTAAAAGGGATTTTTTAATTAATGTTACAAAAATCTCTGCTTTTAATGATAAAACCATCACTTACCAAATATCAATGATTTTAGAGAAAATGCTACAAGTGCATAGGAGATAAATGGTCATGCTAGTACTTGTCAACAAGCATGCCAGAATGAAACTCTATCCTTCCTGTTCAAATACTGTTTACATGCAACATTAATATCATTGGTGACGTGTCAGTGAAGTATGTATAAATGATGCCACAATGAAGCTCTACCCTTCCTTTTAAAATATTGTTTACATGCAGAAACATTAACATTACTGACGTCCTTATCTAATACCCTTAAAAAAATAACACAGAAAATTTAAGAAATAATAACACGAGGTAAAACACCTTGATCATTTCATCCAGTCTCTGAAAACACCTGCCCACCCCATCACCTAAGTTTCCCAATTAATTACGGAGAGGACTGAAAAAACCTGACAGAAAAGTCTTTAAGGCGGCATTGGGCAAGATTTTTAATGTTCCTCCTCTCCGAACACCTGAAGGTGGAATGAAAAGGCCTACAGCAGCTATATGAAGATCTAAAGTCTTCATAGAGTTTTTTTTTCTTTTTTAAAAAAAAAGCTTCTCCTACTTTGAGTTTTAGACATTCTTTACGTGCAACTTGAAAATATTCGTTAACATCTCTTGATATCACTGGTTATTTGTAATGCGCATTCGAAATTTCAACATGCTGTTTTCATGCACTTTAAGACATATTACAAAAAAATCGCAGAAGAATTTCCTATCTTGTTAGTCTATTCAATCAACTAGAAATTATTAATCGTCCTAAAACTTCATTTATAATTACCACATTTACCCGACTGCAATTCGACTTTTATCACAACTGCAGATAAAAGGGGCTTAGAATTGTTATCATAAACTAGCAGAAGTACCCAATGCCAGTTAAGTTAGATTGAAAGCAATGTATCTAACAACATAGAGAATGATACCGCTGTAATCCTTCTCTAATGATGATGTAAAAAATACAATTCTTAGTCATACATTTTTCAGTCTGATGTGAAATGGAACCCACATACAAAATTTTGATAGAAAAATAATTACAGTGGATGGACAAAAATATGGAAACACCTTGTGAAATGCATGTTTGAAAAGAAAGATTGATTTTAATGAAATATGTAGGTGGCGCTGGCGTTTTTGACTACTGACGCAACCATATACACTTCGTAAATGTGCTAAACAGTTCAGTTGTTGTCGGGAGTACTGTTATGTGAGGTTGTCATTGCATTATGTCAGAGTTAACAGACTTCGAACGTGGGCAAATTGTTGGAGCACGTTATGGTAGGTGCTTCCGTAAGCAAGGTAGCCGAGGTGTTTAGTGTTTTCAAGAGTACTGTATCGAAGTTTATTGCGCATATTTGAAAAGCGGAAAAAATGATCTGCTAATCACAGCGCGGACGAAAGTGTGTCCTGAGTGATCGTGACAGACGATCATTAAGGGCAATTGTGACGAAAAATAAGAAGACCACAGCTGCAAAAGTTACTGCTGAATGATGTGTTACCGAACCCTGCGAGTACCAAAACAATTAGAAGGGAGCTTCATAAACAGGGAATTGCTGTCCGTGCTGGCAATTGAGAAGCCACTCATCAGTGATGCTAATGTCCGTAACAGGAAAAGGTGGTGTTTAAGTCATAAAGCCTGGACTATAGAGCAGTGGAAAGCGAGTAAAATGGTCTGACGGTCATCTTTCACATGTTTCCCCACTTCTGGCCGAGTTTACGTCTGGAGAACGCCATCTCAAGCCTATAATACAGACTGCTTGTTGCCAAGAGTGAAACATGGCAGGGGTTCTGTTATGGTTTGGGCAGCCATATCGTGGTTCTCTGCTAGCCCCATGATAACTATGTCAGGGCACATGACTGCAAGACTTATGTGAACATTTTGGCTGATCAAGTTCATCCCATGGTACAAA